TGAGCCATCTCTCCAGCCCCCCCAAATTTTATTATTTTTATTTTATGTGTATGTGTGTATTGCCTACATGTGTGTAAATGCACCCATGTCATGCAGTCCCCAGAGAAGGCAGAAGAAGGTGTTGGATCCCCTGGAACTGGAGTTATGGACAGTTGTTAGCTGCCACATGGGTTCTGGGATTTGAACTCAGGTCTGCTACAAGAGCAGTCAGTGCTCTTAGCCAGTGAGCCGTCTCTCCAGTGAGCCGTCTCTCCAGTGAGCCGTCTCTCCAGCCCGAGTGTTTTGATTTCTAGTTTGGTTCTGTGGTGTGATTTGTGTCCTAAGGTGACATCTCACTGGTGGCTGGTGGGCACTAGTTGCAGGTTCCTGGCTCCTGGTCCCCTGGGTCTTTCTCTAGGACAGTAGTCTGGAGCTTCCACTCGAGAGTTGCCTGTTTTCTGCTTCGATCTGTTGGCTTTGCTATCTGTATTTTCAGTTGTTACCAGGGTTTTACATTCTGATGAATTAACTTGTCTTCAAGAAGTGCCTTTCATCACCAGGGATAGCCCTCGTCCCCAGAGACTCCTGCATCTAGAACTAAGTCTTTCCTCCAGCTCGCTGTGAGCGGTATTGGTGTGCTGTGACTTCTTTCCTTCCTCATAGATTGTTTTGGTTTCATTTTGTTTTGTTTTGAGACAGGATCTCCCTATGTTGCCCTGGTTGACCTGATACTTCTAGGCTGGCTTCGAACTCAGAGAGATCTGCCTCTGCCTTGTCATTGGATAACTCCATTAGTGTGGGTGTTCATGTGATTGGGTCTTACCCCATGTGGCCTGATGTCTGATTCTTCATCTTCCCCTCTGCCATTTTTTTTTTTTTTTTTTTTTTTTTTTTTTTTTATCTGTTTGAGACAGGGTCTCCCCCTGCAGGTCTGGAACTCTCTATGTAGACCAGGCTGGCCTGGAACTCACTTTGTAGACCACATTAGTCTTGAACTCCCAGAGATCACCCCCTCTGCCTTCTGAGTGCTAAGAATAAAGGCTAGCACCGCCACACTTGGCCGTACTCCAGTTTTTCTTAGGAGTTGCTGAAGGGTTATGGTCTGTATCATAGGTTGCCATGGCCAGCTTTCTGCAGAATGACATGTTCCATGGTAGCAGGAGACGCAGTTTTCCCTGGGACCATTTTGTGACAACCCCACCCAATTCTTTTCTTTCTGCTTTCAACAGTCATTTGTTTATTTTATCTTATGTTATTTTGTACCTGCCATGGTTGTTGCTGTGGAGGCTGGTATTGGCCAGTGCTTTCTGCTAACTATGCCCTGATTGGATGAAGAGTCAGTGCAGGGGCCCACAGTGCAAAAAGGTGGAGCTGCTTGGTATTCTAAGGGGTTAGCTGTGTTCTTTTTTGATATTTTTGAGACAGGGTCTCCCTCTGCAGGTCTGGAACTCACTGCGTAGACAGACCAGGCTGGCCTTGATCTTACAATCTTACAGTGATCCCCCTGCCTCTGCTTCTGAAGTGCTGAGATTATAGGTGTACACCACCACGCCCGACCATGTTTGTTTGTTTGTTTGTTTTTGAAAGACTTTATTATCCAGGTGTGGTGGTGCACACCTTTAATCCCAGCACTTGGGAGGCAGAGGCAGGCAGATCTCTGTGAGTTCAAGGCCAGCCTGGTCTGCATAGTGAGTTCCAGGACAGCTGGGGCTACAGGGAGACCCTGTCTCAAAAAAAAAAAGGACTTTATGTGTGTGCATGCATGCATGGGTTGTATGTGCAGGTGCATGTGGCAGCCAGGGGAAGATGTCTGGTGTCTTCCTCTATCACTCTTCACCTTATTTCCTTGAACAGGGTCTCATTGAACCTGGAGTTGGCTGGGTTTGGGGCTGGCTGATGTGCAAGCCCTGGTGATCCTCCCGTCTGTTTCTGTTACCCACAGGGACGGTGCTGGGGCTACAGGCACATACAGCTTAAACACCAATGTATTTACTGATATGCTTGTGCTCATGCATGTCATGGTGTATATGTAGAAGTTAGGGGACAACTGAAGGGAGTTGAGTTGGTTCTTTCCTTCTACCATGTAGATTCCAGGGATTGAACTCAGGTCATCAGGCTTGGTGGCAAGTGTCTTCACTCAATGATCCAGCCTGCCAACCAGCATTTTTTAAAAATATGGGTGCTGGGGAGATGCTTGTGCAATAGGCATTCTTAGCACTCAGCCTTCTCCTCGACTACTTCTTGAGATAGGGTATCATATATTCCATACTGGCCTCATACTGGCTATTGCTATGTAGTTGAGGATGAACTTGAATTCCTGATCCTTTTACCTCTACCACCCGAGTTACCACACCTGACTTTATATGGTGCTAGGGGTCAAACCCAGAACCGCAGGAATATTAAACAGAAAGAATACCACTGAGCTATATACCCCAGTGCCCACCCCCATCCCCTTTCCTTTTATTTTGAGTCAGGATTTTGTTATGTACTCTAGACTGGCCTAGGAGTCACTACATAGCCCAGGCTGACCTTGAACTCTCAGCATTCCTTCCTCAGATTCCCAAGGTGTGCACTACCACGTCCAGCTTAGCTTTGCTCTTATGTAGTCCCTGGCAGTGTCTCAGATTTCTAGGATCCCTGGGCCCCATATGGAGAACTGCCTGGACTTCCAGGTTTCTGGCCATGTTGTTCCCACCTAACAAAGTTTGCAGCATTTTTTTAATAGACTTCCCTGCTAGTAATGAATTCTTGGCTTTGGCTTTCCAGGAAAGTGTGGTTTTATGCTTTTCTCAGAGGTGCTAGAGTTAGATACAGACTGCTTGGCAGTCTTTTCGTTGGATGAAGACATGGTTTCCTGAGGTGGGGTGGGGAACTGACTTGACAGTTGTTAACACAACTACTTTTTTCGGGGGCGGTAATCTTTTTGAGTACTGGGATTAAAGGCACAACTACATTTTTAAAAATTAGTATTGACTCTCAGCTGGGTGTGGCGCATGCATGGTTGCCACTCCTTTAAATCCCGCACTTGGGAGTCAGAGGCAGGTGGAGTTCTGTGAGTTCCAGGCCAGCTGGGGCTACTGGGAGAACCTGTCTCAAAAACCAGAAACCGAAACCAAAAAAAAAAAGAAGACAGGGTCTGACCTTGAACTTCTGATCCTTCTGCCTATATCTCCCAAGTGCTGAAATTTCAGTCCATATGGGTTTATGCCAATGGCTTTGGAAGTATGACTACTGGGTTGGTGAGGTGGCTTTAGCCAGTAAGTCATCTTACTGCCAAGCCTGACAACCTGAGTTCAGTCCCCACGATCCCTATGGTGGCAGGAGAACTGATTCCTGAAAGTTGTTCTCTGACCGCCACATGTGTGCTATAGGATGTGTACATACGTGTGCTGTAGGATGTATATGTACATGTGCAGTAGGATGTGTACGTACATGTGCTGTAGGATGTGTAAATATTTGTGCTGTATGATGTGTACGTACGTGTGCTGTAGGATGTGTACATACATGTGCTGTAGGATGTGTACATATGTGTGCAGGCTGCTGACCCAAGTTGAGTCCCAAGAGCCCACATGAAGGTGGAAGGAGAGAACTGACTTCACAGAGCTGCCCTCTGAGTTCAAGATTCACTGTGGAATGTGAGTGTGTGTACATACACACAACATGCAAGCACGCGCATGTGCACGCGCACACACCAAATTTAAAAAGTCTTTTAAAAAGTCTGAATATTGGGTCTGGAGAGACAGCTCAGCAGTTAAGAGCACCTTTGCGGAGGACCCAGGGTTGATTCCACTACCCACATGGTAGCTAATAACTGTCCGTAAATCCAGTTCCAGGGAAATCGGATGCCTTCTTCTGACCTCCATGGGCATTGCACTACACAGGTACACTTTACATACATGTAGGCAGTATACTCATACACATAAAAATAAAAATAGTAAATTATTTTTTAAAAGTCTGACTTTTGGGTGCTGAAGAGATGGCTCAGTGGTGCAGAACACTGGTTGTTCTTGCAGAAGACCCAGGTTCGGATCCCAGCACCCTCACAGCAGCTGACAACTGTCTGTAACTCCAGTTCCAGGGGATCTGACAGCCGCTTCTGACCTCTGTGGGCATTGCACAACACGGGTGTACTTGCTTACATGCAGGCAATACACATACGTAAAATAAAATATTTTAAAAAATATGTGTGTATATGTGTGTGTGCAGGTACACGTGTGACCCTGGGAGTGTTGAAGTCGGGGCAGCTCTGTGGAAGTTGGTCCTTTCCTTCCATCTTTTTTTTTTCTTCTTCTTTTTGAGACAGGGTCTCCTTGTAGTCCCAGCTGTCCTGGAACTCACTATGTAGACCAAGCTGGCCTCGAACTCACAGAGATCTGCCTGCTTCTGCCTCCCAAGTGCTGGGATTAAAGGCATGCGCCACCACGCCTGGCTCTCCTTCCATCTTTATATGGGTTCCAAGGACTCAAATTGGGTCACCAGGCCTACATGGCAAGTACTTTACCCACTGAATTGTCTGTGACTAGCCCATAAATACAAATTTGATATTATCTTGAGTTAATAAATTCATGGGGAGGACACTTAAATTTCTGGTTTTTAAAGTGTGTGTAGCTCAGGTTTTATAGCTGAATTTTATTTTGTGTTGGTTTGGTGTGGTCAAAGGAGGTGTGACCTAAGATGAGGTAGGTTCTCAATGGTTGTATCAGCCAGCCTGCTGTATGCCATGCTTGCTGACAGTGTTGGCAAATGTGTGCAGGGTGCATGGGATCCTGTGGTGTATGATTGCTGCTGGCCTTCATGATTCTACCACACGGTGAGGGAGGTTGCAGTGGTTTCCTGGCAGAGACAGTCTGACAAGTCTTGGGCCACATAGAGCCCATCTATTTCTGCATCTGTGTAATTGGCCTGATGACACCTGTGTTTCAGGAGTTGACAGCAGGTTATGTGGGGTCTGCTAGATAAATGGAGGTGCAGAGGATGATGGAAGAGCACTGGCCTTCCTAACATGTTTTCTTTCACCTTAGGTAAATCTTAAAATGAGAGAGATAACAGAGAAAGAAGTTAAGTTAAAGCAACAGCTCCTGGAAAGTCCAGCCCATCAAAAGGTAAAGGCTAGATTTCACTTCTCTGGAATGCACTGTGTGGTCATAGTTTCACAGAATTATCTATTACTACCCGCTCTTCTGTATTTTTAATATATCACCCAAAACAAGTCAGCCCCTTGAATTCTCCTGGTGGCTGATTCTCAATGACATAGTAAGGATGACCCTGGGCAATCTGTCTTCCATCCCTTGCTGCCCCCTCTCCTCCGTGTTTGTGGTTTGTGGAACAGTAGGGGTTGAGGGTGTGCTGGGAGGAATTGGGAAGTTCAGTCATGGTACAAACGTAGCAGCTGGGGGTGAACTTCTGAGCCAGGAAAGGGGTAGAAGTTGCGTGTAGTAGCTGTGCCTTTCTTGATCCCTGAAATGGCCTATGAGGCATTGCAAGGCTGGTGGGTATCTGAAGCCCTGTGTCCGGAGCCAGTAGAAAATGTACGCCTTGGACACAGATAGGTGTGCTCTGTGTTCTGGCTCTGGCCTCCTCCCTGGCCATTTTCTCTTTTGCTCAAGCCCATGTGTCACTAAGTCCACTCTGTGAAGTATACACAGGATGCCACCCAACTGTGGACACAGTGTCCCTGCCAGGGCGCACGTGCCTCTCCCCTTGTGGCTTCTCTCCATATACTGGCCAGTTCTAGTCAGTTGGGTTGGTGGCAGATTACACCTATGCTGAGTGTCTCCCTAACCCTTAGCAGACACCCATGGGCACAGGCAAGCCCTTTGGAGTTGGAGTGGATTTCTAGCCTTGGTCCCCCAACTTTCTCAAAGTTCAGAACTGTTCTTTGCTACTGTTGTGGAGGGATAAGTCACCTTGCAGTTGAACTGCCTGATGGTGTTATGTGCTGAGGTCATGCACACTAGGAAGCCTTTGTTTACCAGAGGCTGTCTCCACCTCTGCTGTGTGTCATGGCCACACCGGAACCTGCTGTGCTGACATTCCTCTCCACCTTCCTTCCCGCTTCCTGAGCAGTCTCCCTCCAAGTGGTATTGGAAGTTAGTGCCCGTAAGTGACCCAGGCCACCAGCCGCCATCTGCAGAGCCATCTTGTTGCCATCATGCGCTTCCATTAAAATTGCTCGCACCCAAGACTGGGTTTTGTCTGCTTGTTTAAACATCCACCTGGGGATTGTGTTAACCCTTCTCTGCCAGGAACTGAGCGGGCTTTAGAATGTGGCACTCTGGAAGGCTATGTTCATTTTGCCCAGGTTCTTAGTGTCTTCTGTGTAAGTGACCAGCGTAGCATAGCTGACAGAGCACACTCTCTTTTCTAGTAGACACCAGGAGGACTGACTGGGACCTAGAGACAGGGGCCACTTCTTAAGGGTCACTCTTTAGCCTTTTTCTTTCTGTTGTTACTTGCCTAAAGTGGTGGCTTCTACCAAGACCTTGCTTAGTACCCATGTGCTGAGCTGTGGTGTTGGGAAGGTGTCCGCCCAGGGTGCAGGTGGAATGCAGAGAGGGCTGGTGCTTCCAGTCCTGTGTCTTCCTTGAAGCCATCATTGGGCCTACATGAGGTCAACTCTGATTCAGAGAGTCTGAGTTAGGTTAGTTCAGATGCAGGGCTTCTGAATTACGTGTGAATTTTCAAATATCAGGGCTGGAGAAATGGCTCAGCTGTTAAGAGCACTGCTCTTGTAGAGGACCTGGGTTTAGTTCCCAGTACCAGTGTCGCATCTATAACAACAGCTGTGGGGAAATCAGATGCCTTCCTCTGACCTTAGCAGGTATTGCACAACACAGGCGCACTTACATACATGCGGACAATACATTCATTTCATATACATTAAAAATATTAAAAGGAAGCTTACAAACAGGGATTTGGTTTGGTAATTCCAGCTGTGCCCCACCTGGTGGCTCATTCTGGAAGTGAATCAGTTTGTCACTGTCCCTCCAAGGAGATACCCGATGCCAAGTGGTGCCTTTTCATAAGAACTTTTGGTCAGAGTCTCTTTGCATATGATTTTGTATGTGTCTCTGATTGCCTGGGTCCTATAACTTCATCATTTGACCCAAGTTTCCTTTGAGTTCCCTCCTGCAGCCCCATGGCTGTCGGCCGCAAAGGACCCATGAAATCCTGTGCTTGCTGCTGCCAGGCCGCCTTTCTCCTCCCAGTGTCTTAGTGAGAATGAGAAGGAAAGCTTGCTTGATGAGTGTTTATATGTCTCTTAATTCTCGAGTGCTGAATATGACCAAGGCAAGGTTCACAGCTCTCCTGGAGGTGTGGTTTCAGATGAGTTTCACAGAAACAAAGACATGTGACAAAGAGTAATGTCCCTTAACTGCCCTTTATTGGAGAGTCTGTAGCTGTCCTACCATGGTTTTCAGTGAATAGGGTAAGAAGAAAAAGTTTGGTAAAGATTGAGAGGTTGCAGTAAGAAGAAAAAGTGTGGTAAAGATTGAGAGGTTGCAGGTTGTATTTGAATGCTTCACAGCTAGAGGTTTGAAGATGTGGATGAGCAAGGCAGTCATGTGAGCCCCCAGGCCCTGTAGTTCATCAGCCTGATTTTACCCACGCCATCCGTCCTTACTCAAGAAACCATTTGCTTTACTGCATGCCTGCTCATTCCTTATCTGCTGTCTCTGTGGAAGCCTGGCCTGGCGCATGCTGTGATGTACTGCATGCTGGAACCTGTGGACTTTGCACGTGTGGTATAGTATGAGGCGGGTGACCTGTGGTAGCACATGCCTTGGGCTCTGAGAAACAAGTTAAAATGTGTGTTGGAACATGCTATGAACATAAAACAAGCCTTATTGCTAAATCTGAAAGAATTTGTTATAATCAGACTTTTTTTTTTTTTTTTTTTTTTTTTTTTTTTTTTTTTTTTGCCACATACTTTCAGAGATAATAACTCGAAGTTCTGGATTTCTGAGATGATCTTTGACTCACCTGTAGAACTCTCAGAAACTGGTAGTCATTATAGTTAGGCACTGGCCCTCTTCCTAGTTTCTATCATGTATCTTCCTCTCTGGAGAAAATGTGGCTGGTGGGCATCCTGCCGTGGGGTGCTGTTGCAGGAAAGAGCAGGGTGCTGCAGCTCTTGGGAGCAGCTGGTATGCTGAGAAGCCTCTGCTCTGGTAAAGCGCCTGCTGACTGTGAACACAGAGCCATGGCTATGGTGCTTAGAAGACAACAGGTAGCTTCCTCACGTGTGGAATAAGGAAGCCTCGGCCTGGCTTTTGTCTCTGAGCACCTATGGGTTTAGTGTCCTAATGCTTCATTTGTATTTCATAGTGGCTGGCCTAGTAGTGTGAGAAACTTTGTTTAACCTGGTTTCTGAAATTTCTCAAACTATTAATGCCGTTTTGTATTTTTCTTAATGGCCAGTGTGAATGTTGATAATACTCGGAAAAGTGGCTGTAGCTTGGGGTCCTCCAGGCTTCTGGGTGCTCACATTTAACTTGTTTCTCATTGGTGTGGAGTGTCTGCTCGTGGTAGTATAGATGTGTGTTCCGCCTCCTCCCATGTGTGCCTGCTGCCAGAGTCAGTTCAGAGTTAGACTGGCCCTGGTAGCATTAGCAGTGGATCTTTGCGATTCAGTGTAGCCAAGGGCCAGATCCTTGGATCTGACGTGTGTTCTGGGAGGGGACATCAGCCACAGTCTGAACTTTTCCAGGCCATCACTGTTGACTTCACGTGGCTCTAGCTTTGTGTAAATTCTTGCTCTAGCAGTGTGCCTGTGACATACACAAGGTGAAGCGACCTCACACGCAGAGACCGTTTTCCTTTTATCAACTGCAGGTCCGCTATCGGCGAGAGCACCTTTCCGCTAGGCAGTCACCTTACTTCCCGTTGTTGGAGGACTTGATGAGAGACGGCAGTGATGGCGCTGCTCTTTTAGCAGTGGTTCACTATTACTGCCCAGAGCAGATGAAACTGGATGGTGAGTGGAGATCGCATCCCCCGACAGCCCCAAAAGGGAACAGTGCATTTAATATTCAAATACTAAGAAAACCTAAGAAAGCAGCGTGGAGCCCGCTGAGTTGGGATCCCAGCACACACCTGGAGTGCTGTGAGGTTGAGTGCTTACATGCAGCCTACATTTTATCTGATGTAAACATTGCCCATTAAGAGTATGTGGGTGATATGTCCATGTGTTTTGTGACTTTTCCTGTATTTCAGTGGTGGGGGGGTGGCTTGAAAATCCTTCCATATTGAAACATCTCTAGAACTTAAGCCAATGTAAGCCAGGCACACACATGGGAGACTAAGTTAGGAGGAAATGACTTTAAGATCAGCCTGGGCAGGATGAAGTGTTTCAAATTTTCCTGAACTATATAGTAAGACCCTGTCTCAAAAAACAAAACAACTTTTTAGAACCTTATTTTAGGCATGTGAAAATCAATTCTAGGCTTAGTCCAATCACAGCATTTCTGAATCCCTGTCATGTGCCTGGTGTGCTGTTCTCCTGCCACCACGCCTCGCTAGGTGCTTGTGACCTGCAGCAGGGAGGGAAAAAGTAACTGTGAAGGGCAGCACAGGCACCTGCCAAGGTGCTGTGGGAGCATGAGTTTTCAGTAGCTCAGCTTCCTAAGTCCCTGCTTGTCTGGAGTGGGCAGGTCGAGGGCCAGGGACCTGGTTAGTGCCCATACTGCATTGTCATTTCAGACCCAAGTCCCGGATAATCTGGGCTGGTATTGCATTTGCTGCAGGCACAGAAGTGCAGATGATAAGGGTTTTTTTTGTGGACACAGAGGTGACTTAAAAGAAAAGGAGAGCCTTAGGTACTCGAAAGACAAAGCCCATGAGGAGACACACGGACGCCCTCTCATTCAGCTGGCTTTGATCCTCTGACTAGGATCTTTTCGGGAAAAAGACCAGAAAAGCTCTGCCTTACACCCAGGAAAATGTGGGGAGGCTTCTCAAGTACCTGTGTGTCTGGGGACTAGAGGAAATGAGTGGAAGCGAGGCTAAGAGGCACCTCACCCATGTTGGGAGCCTAGAAGAACAGTCAGTGTCAAAAGCAGTCTACGCCGGGTGTGGTGGCGCATGCCTTCAATCCCAGCACTCGGGAGGCAGAGGCAGGCGGATTTCTGTGAAATCAAGGCCAGCCTGATCTACATAGTGAGTTCCAGGACAGCTGGGGTTATAGGGAGAACCTGTCTCAAAAAGACTAAAAAAAAAAAAACAAAACCAAAAAACAAAAGTAGTCTACTACTGAGTGGTAGAATGCTTGCCTAACATGCACAAGGCCCTGGGTTCCATTCCCAGGAAAAATGTACCTGTATATATATATATTTCTCTCTCTCTCTCTCTCTCTCTCTCTCTCTCTCTCTCTCTCTCTCTCTCTACTCTGGGGAAATAATTCAGTGGTAGAATATTTGCTTAGTATACTGAGTTCTTGGGCTCCATCTCCAGCACCACGAAAAATAAAATCTGGCTGGGGATATAATATGCTCAGTGATGTGGCACTTGCCTAGCATGCAAGTGGCCCCAGGTTCCATCTACAGCACTGAAAAGTAAATAAAATGGTCTGGTGCTAATAACTTTGGTCCTATGGGAACTCCAGAGTCCTGCTGGTGGGAACAGCTCCAGAAACTGGCTGGGGACATGTGCCTCCATAGACCCTACAGGTGTCAGAGCAGATCTGTGATCAAAACATGGCTGGAAGAGAACCCTTTGGAATGTTTAAATGCTCAAGGTCCTAAGAAGGGGGTAGGGTGGGTGTGGCATCTGAATTTCTGGGGTTTTCCTTTATCTTCCAAGTTGTAGCAGCTGTTTTGACATTTCCATCTCTCTTGCTTTCCTCTTTTTCAGTGTAGCTCAAGCTGACCTGGAACACTAGGTATTCGAAACTGCTCTTAGACCTGTGGTCCTCTCCTGCCTTAGCCTCCCGAGTTCTGGAATTCCAGATGAGCACCGTGCCCGCTGAGCTTTTCCTCCTCTTTAGCTCCCCTGCCTCAAGTGCGCTTTAGCAGTCTTCAGCTTTCCTCAGCATAGCCTGCTTTTTCACCTGCCTTTAGGGGTCTTAAGGCGGAAGCAGGTGGGGCAGGCATCCTTATTGATGCAGTGAACGGCCCATAGGATGTAGCAGAGCATCCAATGGATCTGAAAAAAATGACGGAACTACACGTTGATAGAGCCGCACACGTAACTTAACTGAGGCTGACAAATAGGAATTTAGTAAGGCTGCAGAAGACTGGCGTACAAAGTTGTCAGCTTTAGCCACTGTGGTACACTGAATAAAAGTAAGACAAATGGTCAGGACTGCTGAGATGGCCCAGTGGATAAAGGAGCTTTCTACAAAGCCTGATGACCTGAGCGGAACCCCCAGAACCCACTGGTAGAAGGTGAAAATGTACTACAAGATGTCCTCTTCCTCCACATGTGTACCATGACGTGTGGGTGTATATGTTTACACACACACACATACACACACACACAAAATAAATGATCAGAATACATGAGTATTTGTAAGAAATGAACTTGGGCAAAGCCACAAGAGAAAACACACCAGGTTCCAAAGCATCCGTCTGTTCCTACCAGTACCGAACGTTAGAAACCAGTAACAGGGCACAGCTTCTTTCCACACACTCCTAAAGACCAGGGACAGTGCGTGTAAATGCTTCATGGGTGGAAAAAGTCAGAACTGGTAGGTAAGATTTGCAGGGGGGATGTGGTAATCTGTTTTGTTCACCAATGCCACAGTCATTTAAGGACAAACTGATACGGGCTAAGTATTGTTGAGCATGTGAACAAACAGCTTATCAGAACTTGGGGGACATGGTCTGAAGTGGGCTTTGAGGGTAGATATACTGCATCATGTGTGTATGCCAGAGAGCAAGGAACTTGGGAATTAATGACCTAGGTTCATTGCTGTGACTTAGACAAAGGACATAGACATATGTGATCCTAGAGAAAGGAAGGGAGGGTGAAAAGTAGTTTTCTGGTCGTGTCTGTAGATTAAGTGGCTGACTTCTAAGGTTCATCTTGGACGTGACTGTGGTGTGTTCAGACTCAACAAATTGGCTAGCTAAGAAGTAAAATAGAAACACAGAGGAGGTTAAACCAGAAACGCAAGACATTTCACTCACTAGAATCCTAGAGCTGCTAGGGAAAAGTGCCAGGGGCCGGCTGCAGTGTGCCTGGGGGTATCTTTGAGAGTTGGTCTGCAGAGGAGTGAAAGCTTGTGTTACCTTTGTTTCCAGTAACACCCCTTTCGTCGAGGGTGGAGCCCTGGGCACACTTGAGGGAGACAGCCTGATGAAGCTGAGGTCTCAGGCTTTGGCATGGGGCACGCAAGGATGAAGTGACTGTACTCAAGGCTTTTGTGTCAACTTTTTCATCCAGTCATCTGTCCTAGTAAGTTTCCCATCCCTTGTTAGGCTCCATGAGGCTGATTTGCTCCATATGCAAAAATGGGGAAGGATTCTTTCTTCTCTGCAGAAACTGGCCTCAAGGACAAGACCCACAGTAGCTGAGGTTTGGCAGCAGCTAGTCACTGACAGCAAAGCCCACTTCCCAATGCCTCCTTATAACTGAATGGATGACCTAGGGTCCCCTGACATTGGAGGAAATCCTCTGACCTGAACAAACACTCAGTCCACAGAGATGTTGCAGAAGATGCAACAGGAAGAGGGTGGAGACCTAGGAGCTGAGAAAGGTGCTAGGAAGGAAAAGACTCACACAGATGGGTCCATATTAGGTTCCATAGAGCTCTAAAGAAGTGCACATTTGGTATCTGAAGTGTAAGAATCCACTAAAGAGACAGAGTAAAGGCCAGGTGTGGTGGCACATATCTGTAATCCCAGCACTCAGGACACAGAGGCAGGCAGATCTCTGTGAGTTCAGGGCCAGCCTGTTCTACATAGTGAGTTCCAGGCCACCTGGGGCTACAGGGAGACCCTGTCTCAAAAAGGCCCAAAAGAGAGAGAGAAGAGAAGAAAAAATTCCCAGAAAATAACAAAAATGCAAAGCCATGTCATTAGGGAGGAAACTAGAAACATGCGTTCAGTGTAGGGGAATTAACAAAGGAGATATTGGAGAAGCTTTACCCAAGAAAGTGCTCCTAGGGTGAGAGTGCCAAGTCTGAAGCGTCATGCCGCAGCACGCTGAGGGGGCCTACATGACTAGACAGACAAACCAGGCCACACAGAATGGGGAACTGGCCGACAGCAGCAGATCCTTCAGCGAAGCCCACCCCTGACACAGGACAGCTTGTGTCCTCCCCCACCCTCCCATGCTGGGTAGAGGCTGCATAGGGTGTTTGATCATTTTGTGGCAGTTTTAAAGACAGTGTATCTTGCTGGGCAGGGTGGCACATGCCTTTAGTCCCAAGCTCTTGGTTATCAGAGGCAGGCTTTCTCTGAGATTGAGGACAGCCTGGTCTGTATAGCAAGGTCTAGGCCAGCTGGGGCTACAGGGAGACCCTGTCTCAAAAAGACCAAAAAAAAAAAAAAAAAAAAACTGTTTTTTAAAAAAAAATAAAAAAAAAAAAAAAAAAAAAAAAAAAAAAAAAAAGACTGTTATTGAAATAAAAATTAAAAAGTAACAAAACAGACATTTTAAATTTTACAAAAAGAAAATATGTAAAAACCAAAGCTGTTCCTTTGGTTGGTTGGTTGGTTGGTTGGTTGGTTTGGAGATAGGGTCTCACTGTCCAGCCCTAGCTGGCCTGGCATTTGTTATATAGACTAGGCTGACCTGCATTGCTCTGCCTGCTCTTCCTCCCCAGTACTTGGATTAAAGGCATGTACCACCAAAATGATAAATAAAATAATCTGGAAAGGTTAGTCAAGAAAAGAGGGCAAAGTAAAGAATGCAAAAACAAAATGCAGGTCTAGTAACACCAAATAAAAGTACTGAGAATATTTGAGTGCGCTATGTGTTCATGTGACATGGACAGTTTTCTGTTGGACCAAGACTGGGAACTCCAGAGGCCCAGAGCTGTATGGCTGATGGACCCAGAAGCCAAGAAGTACATCCTTGTGGGCTGACTTTGGGGGAGCTTTTTGCTGGGTATTTTACCAAATTTTCAAGGAATTGGCAGTTGTATTGGTTACTTTTGTGTTTCTTGAAGGAGGCAACTTATAGAAGGAGAGTGTATTTGACTTACAATTGCAGAAGGATTAGAGTCCATCGTGGGGGCTGAGGGGGAGGAGACATGGCAGCAGAGGTGGCCAAGAGCAGAAAGCCAAGCGATTACATCCTCAAGCAGGTACAGCAAGCAGGAAGGACTAGAAACCTGACCAGGCTTAAGAGCTCTCGGAGCCCGCCCCCAGTGACGTGCTGCTCCAGTGAGGCTCTGCCTCCTTAGACCTCCCAAAACAGTGCCACCAGCTAGGACAGAATGTCCAAATTCTTGGCACCTGTGGGGATACTCTTCAAACCACAACAGTTTCTGTGGCTTATAAATTGTATCAGAGATGAGAGGATCCATCTGTGACACACCAGGAAGAGACCACCAGAAGACAGTTAACAGCTGGCAGCCTTGTTAACCCAGACTGAATTGCACGGCCTGGAAGACGAGACTGATGGCCCCACCTGCTTTACACTTATCTCAGTAGGTGTAGTTCCTGGTCTGCCAGTGGTGATTCTACCTGGTGGTGGCTGTGGATCTGAGAAGACACCTGGGCCTTGTCAGCAAATTGGGGCAGGAGGCTCAGTGCAGGAGCCCTGGTCAGGGGTGCCCGCAGCATTGGCCCAGTATGTAGTCCCGCAGCCCAGGGAGAACCACAGAGAGCCTGGGAGCAAAGCCAGCAAAAGGCTGTGAGGGGGAGATGAGTGTGTAAAGAGAAGTCTGTGAGGATGAGATGAGTGTGCAAAGAGTAGTTTACAACTGTGAGGAAAAACCTTTTCTGCAGTTCTTGGAGGAGACGACATTGTCAGATGTGGAGAGTCAGTGTCCTAAAAATGATAGTTTCTTGACTATTCTGTAGGTGTATTGCCAATCCAACAAATACTTTCTACAGAGATTGACAAGGCAACACAGAAATTCATGTGGATGCGTAAGAGCCCGAGAGCAAAGTTGTCACATTTTGTTTTGGGTTAATTTGGTTTTCAGCAGATGGCGCAAGAACTTCTGTACTTTTAAAACCTAGACTTCCTGATGGCGGTGTTTTCTCACCTTTGTCCTCCAAGTAGCTCAGGGAGCATCGAGGGCGTGCTGCGTGGCAGGGAAGGTCCTGAGGCCTTGCCCAGGCTGTGTCACTTATCCTAGTGACATCTTTTCACTTTGTACCCATTGTCTCTGGCTGTCAGTCCTCCTGGCAGCTTCCTTCAGGCCAGACTCAGAGCCCAGCTCTGCCTTTCTGACTTTTCAGGCTATGGAGTTGGTCCACTGTTCGCCTGTAGCGTGTCTGCTTCTGCATTCTACCCTGGGTACATGACAGTGTCCGAGTCCATGCTCACTGTGCTCTTGGTACAGTGTGAGGCAGTGTCTACTGGTCTTATCCCTGTAGACAGTGAGTTTGCGTCATAATTAGCTCACTCCTTTGTGGGAAGAACTTTGGACTCTGAGCGTCTTCTCATCTACTACCACAGGGGGCGCCTCCAGCCTCATTCCTCTTCACTGTTTCCTAGTTGGCAGTCTACGTCAGGAGCCAGCCTCTTTGTTTGTTGATTCATGAGTTGAACTTTCATTACCGCCTCATCGGTCTAAGTCTATTTTGTGGGTTAGATTCATTTCTTTCATTGTTTTTGTTGCCTAAGTTCTCACAGATTTCAGCCGAGTTAATTTTGAAGAATAAAAATGTGGGGCACTTGACCTGGGCATGGTGGCGCACGCCTGTAGTCCCAGCACTTAGGAGGCAGAGGCAGGTGGATCTCTGTGAGTTCAAGGCCACCCTGGTCTACATAGTGAGTTCCAGGACAGCTGGGGCTACAGGGAGACCCTGTCTCAAAAAGACCGGAAAAAAAAAAAAAAAAAAGAATGTGGGGCATTTGTTCTGCTAATACTACATTTTGTTTAACTCTACAATGGGTGGAACAGTGGCTTTGACTTGAGATAGTCACATGGAGCAGGAGAACAGCATACAACCCCAGCAGAGATGTTCAGTGGGAAGCTCTGTGTTAAAGGGCCTCATAGCCCAGAGAGACATTTCACCCCACATGAGACAGACATACCCTATTGAACTAATGACATAGATTGAAAAAGCAACATTTGAGATCTTAATTTTTTTTAAAAATTTTATGTGTATGTGTGTTTCACTTTCATACATTAAGTGCACCCATGCATGCAATGCCCAAGGAGGCCGGAAAAGGGTGGAACTAGAACTGGAGGGCAGTTATGAGCCGCCATATGGTTGCTGGGAACTGAGCTCATATCCTCTGCAAGAGCAGCCAGTGCTCTTAACCCCTTAACCCCTGAGCCGGCTCTCCAACCCCACATTTGAGATCTTGAAATTTTTTATTATTTTGGTACTGGGGATAGAACCCAGGACCATTGAGCCATCTTGCCGGCCCAGAAAGTCAAACATTCCTAAAAGGTGACTGCCATTGTTCATCCTGTCATCTTCTGTCCTTCTGGAGAGATGGCTCAGTGGTTAAGAGCACTGGCTGCTCTTGCAGAGGATCCAGATTCAAATCCCACACCCACATGGTGGCTAACAACCATTCGAACTCCAGTTCCAGGGGATCCAACTCCCTCTTCTGACCTCTGTGGGCACTGAACAACCTGGGTGCACTTACATACATGCAGGCAGTACACTTATACACATAAATAAAAATAAAACTTTTTTAAGTGTCACGTGATTTGTAGCCAGGTGTGGTGGGGCAGGCCTTTAATCCCAGCACTCGGGAGGCAGAGACAGGCGGATCTCTGTGAGTTCAAGGCCAGCCTGGTCTGCATAGTGAGTTCCGGGCCAGCTGAGGCTATGGGGAGACCCTGTCTCAAAAAGACACCCCCCCCAAAGTCATGTGATTTGTTACAATATTTGGATGTTTAACCCTTAAGTGCAGATTCTGATATTTCCCCATTTTTTCTATGTTTAATGTCACTTGTCAAACTTACTGTATCTTAAAATCTCAATACTTTACCACCATTTCATGTAAATAAGTTTCAGTTCAGAATTATCTATCCATCCGCCCACTCTTGTGAAGAAGAACACGCATGTCATAAACAAATTACCTGTCTGTCTACTAGATATATGCCTGAAGGAGGTGCCGTCGATGGCGGACAGCTTGTATAACATCCGGCTTCTGAGGGAGTTTTCCAATGAGCACCTGAACAAGTGCTTCTACCTCACCCTGGAGGACATGCTGTATGCTCCGCTGGTGCTGAAGGTAAAGCTGCCATCAGACATGAGCTTAACACCAGCTGCCTGGGAGCAGGTGCTCACTCTGCCTGGGTGTGCTTTCTGTTTCAGCCGAATGTTATGGTTTTTATTGCCGAGCTCTTCTGGTGGTTTGAGAACGTTAAACCAGATTTTGTTCAGCCTCGAGATGTTCAGGAGCTGAAGGATGGTGAGTGACAGCTATGTGATCATAGCCATTTTCTTGGAGCGCCCAAGGGTTGATGCTGCCCACCCAGCCATGGGGCCAAGCTGAGCTGTTGTCAGTGCCTAGGGCAGACCTGAAACCCAGGCTTACCTTCTGTTTGTTCATGATGTGGTCTGTGTTATGTTTTTAAATTTGATAAGATATTTAGAACAATCTTTTTCTTTTTTCTTTCTTTGAGATAGGCTCAAACCTAGGGACTCACCTGTCAAACTTAATTTTAGGGAGTTTTTTTTCTAAAGTAAAAGTTGAGTTCTTGTGTTTGTGAGCTGCAAGTTCTCTCTGTTTCTTGCTGGCACAATAACTATAAATAATATGAGTGTTTCTGTACAATGCTGTTTCTGCAGCTAAAGCAGTGTTACAGCAGAGGAGCAGCCGGCCTCTTGTCCCAATCTCCAACGCAACCAAACGCAGCTTCCTGGGTAGCCCTGCTGCCATGAGCCCTGCTGACCTGCCACCCCTGACCCAGCCCCTGGCTGAAGGTGGGCATCGGTACCACCTGCACTCGGAAGAGCCTGAGTGTCTGTAAGTCGGTCACTCTGCTTTGAGAATTTATTTGACACCTTGTTTCCCTTTTCACGAAGCCTGAAGTATTGAAACTCTCTCTTAAAATGATAATAGAGTAACTTCTGGTGGCTTCTCTTGCATGCCTCTCGGTCACTCAGTCTCCTCTCTGGAGGCTAGGAATGCTGTGGGCCCCTCAGGTCCATAGTCAAGGTTCTTTTAAAGCATGTGCACCAAATTGTAGTATTGTTTACAGAAAAAAAGATTCCACCTTGTCTCCTCACAGTGAATGACAGTTTCAAAAATAATGTAATGAGTAGGGGAGCTGAAGTAGCAGTTCGTGTTTGCTTTGAAATGGAGTCTGATAGACTGACATGAAGTGCTGTGCGTTTTAGGGGCTCTTGGTGCTCACTCACAGAGCTTGTCCATATGCAGCACTGCTTCCTTCACTGCGACAGTGAGCAGGGAATTCAGTTATGATAAGACACCAAGTGGAGCTGGTCAAGACTGTTTTGAGACCAAGTGTGACCCACTCCTTTACTATCAGGAGGCAGAGACAGCAGATCTCTTGTGAGTTGGAGGCCTGCCTGATCTACATAGCAAGTTCTAGGTCAGCCAGGGCTACGTGATGAGATCCTGTCTCAAACTCACTCCCCCCCCCCCAAAAAAAAGAGTGTGTTTTAAGAACTGATTTTTGTCATTAGGACCTAAAATTTGACTAATTGGATCCAGGTTAGTTGACTGCTACCAGATGAGTGGGCCTCTGGGATAAGGGTGAGGGGCTCCTCTTGGAGTAAGTTTTAGCCTCTTATGTGGGGGGAAGAGGGCTGTGCTGCCCCAGCTTGGAGAATATTTTAAAATGGAGGTATGTTTGTGAAATGTGGAGGTTGTGTTGGGATTTACAATTAAAGCAGCTCTCAGTGGTTTTGAATAGCACATGTGGTTCACAAGCAGGCACGCGATAAAGAACCTAAGTTTTCTCAGGTTGATAGTAATGGTGCTGGAGTGTTGGCCAGGAGGAATGTGGTCAGGGCCCTAGGTGCTGGGTATGTGTGTAAGGGCTGAGACCCGCTGAACTGCACTGAACTGCACTGCCTGAAGCAGAGGTGGAAAGCTGTGTGGTGGCTCAGAGGCCACAGATGTGGACAGTGGCTGGGTGGTGATAGCACTTCACAGGCAGAGTTACACAGCCACGCGGCACCCTGGGAGGGGACCAGGCGTATTTGCTTTAGCCCTTGCACTTGCTCTAGTCCTTGCCTCTTTGTGGTCACAGCCAGTGTATGCGGATGTGTGTGTGTGCACGCATGTGCGCGCGCATGCATGGACGCTGTTAAGGCAGGCGGTATTGGTATCTTGTGCACTGCCCAGTGACCCTTTCCACCTCACAGTGGCTGAGAATTTTCTTAGGATTAGAATATCTCCTTGCGTGGTGGCACACATCTTTGTAGTCCCAGCACTTGGGAGGCAGAGGCAGGAGGATCTCTGTGAGTTTGAGGCCAGCCTGGTCTACATAGCGAGTTCCAGACCAGCTGGGGCTACAGGGAGACCCTGTCTCAAAAAGGCCAAAAAATAAAAATAAATAAAATAGAGTCTCTTCCCTGGCATAGTCACGCAGTACTTCATGTTGCAGTTCTGCTCTAGTTGATTTCATTGGTGTGAGGGCAGCTGGACGTTTATAATTTTTGCTGTGCCCTGTGGAGGGTCCCCTCTGCCCAGGCAGCCTCTGTGTCCATTACCCTTTCTGCATTGCTCTCTCCCTTTTGTCCCTCTTCCCTTCTTTGTGTCACTCTTCTGACTCTAAGTGACCTGCCACTATCTTTGTTGCTTTGGACCCAAGCATGATAGTTACAGCCCAGGTGCCAGATGCCCCTGTGAGTCCTGCCCACACCTTATTACTGTCCCTCTGGCCAGGTTCTCTCAAAAGTGAAATAGCAAAATAGGTGCCCTACAGTGTGAGCATGCTTCCTGTCAGGGAGCTGGTGCTCACAACCATGGGCAGGGGCGCTGGGCTGCTGCAACTGCACTGAGCAGTGCTCGCTAGCCGGTGTCTGTTCTGCACCTGTTGATCTCGTGAGCAGGCGCACTCCCAGCTGCACCCATGACTGCTCTTTTTTAGACTGCTGTTGTTTTGCTGTATTGTTGTCTAAGAATGCATGAGTCTATACCTCAGCTTTGAGGGCGTGCCCCGCTTTTCTATGTGAGGCTCGTGCTGAGGACACTGAGCATTTTCAAAGTTGGTTTGATGTGGTAGAGTCATCTGGTTTTTTTTAAAAAGTTAAGTTTTTGGTTAGCATACAAAAAAATGAGTTTCAGTGTGACATTTTCATGCACATACCATGCATTGTTTTTTTTTATTTTTTTATTTTTTATTTTTTGTGTATGCGTGTATTGCCTGCATGTAGGTGAGTGCACCCATGTCGTGCAATGCCCGCAGAGGTCAGAAGAGGCTGTCAGATCCCCTGGGACTGGAGTTACGAACACTTGTTAGCTGCCATGTGGGTGCTGGGATTTGAACCCGGGTCTTCAGCAAGAACAACCAGTGTTCTTAACCGCTGAGCCATCTCTCCAGCCCCTGCATTGTTCTTTTTTAATATTTTATTTATTATTATTTTTAACAGAGCATAGGATAGAGGTTTCTCTACACAAGACTGGGCACCCCCCATTTACAGCTGTCATGCATTCTTCTTACCCCCACACCTCTTGCTGGTCCCCTCTGCAGAGTTCATTTGAGATTTTTGTCATGCACTACAACCAGAAGTTTGTACATTCCTTGTTTGTAACTTTGGGATTTGTGGATGTTCATGTGCATACATGTGTGGGTGCTATGTGTGGAGGCCAGAAGTTGATGTTGGGTGTCTTCCTCAATCACTACTTTATTTTTTGAGATAGGGTCTCTCACTGAACCCAGAGCTTGCCAATTTGACTAGTGTGGCTGGCCCACTAGCCTCCCTCCCTGTGCTAGGATTACAGACCTGTGTCGTAGTGCCTGGCTTTCTCACAAGGCCCTGGCAATTGGACTTGGGTCCTCATGCTTGAATGGCAAGCACTGTACCAACTGAATCATCTCCCCAGCCCAAATTTGGAATTAGAATATATATATATATATATTATTTTTATTTTATGTGTATGAGTATATTGCCTGCACGTAGGTAAGTGCACCCATGTTGTGCAATGCCTGTGAGGACAGAAGAGGCCATCGGATCTCCTGGAACTGGAGTTATAAACAGTTGTTAGCTGCCATGTGGGTGCTGGGATTCAAACCCAGTCTTCTGCAAAAACAACCAGTGTCCTTAACTGCTGAGCCATCTCTCCAGCCCCCAATTTTGTAATTTTTATCTTAAGTTTAAAGCTCTTGTTGGTTTTCTTCTGGTTCAGCTTTAGGGAAGGAATTTCCCCAGAGACCCTGTTGATAGCTCGTGACTGGTTATGAGTTCATAGTGGTCTTTGTTGCTTTTTGCTTTTTCTTATACTACTTTATGTGTTGTACACGTGTATATATATGTACACCCATACAAGCCACAGTGCCCATGTAGAAGTTTGAGAATAACTTGAAGGAATTGGTTCTCTCTCCTTCCACCATATGGGACTTGAGGATGGAACTCAGGTTGTCAGTCTTGGCAGCAAGTGCCCTTACGCACTGAGCCATCCTGCCAGCCTCTGCCTTTGCTTTTGAACTTGAAGTCTGACACGCTCATGATCTTCTCTGACTTCATTTCTATTAGTGGGAAAGGAGCTTCCACCTTCAGCCCAGCCCATCCTTTGTTGCCTCTGAGGCAGAAACAGCAGAAAGCAGCGCAGGCGGAGGATACCCCCGGTGAGAACCTGGTTCCCTTCTGTCGGCCTGTCATTGCTTTTTCTTTTCATGGTTTAGTAAAATAATATTTCTCAAAATTGGACAATCTTATTCTAAGGTATTCATTTTAGTTAGGAATAACAGAGCTTTGCAGTGACACAGCTGAAAATTTAGTCTTGTGAAAATGTCATTCAGATCTTAAAAATCCATGCAACATGCACAGAATGTCAGGTGTCCCCAAGTGTGCCATGCTCTGCACTGGTTACCTTATGCACACTTCACACATCGTTAGAGCCACTGGAAATGGTACCATTCTGATTATCTGCTTCCTTGAGTGGGTTTTGTGGACTGGGTTAGTGTTCTAGTTTGGTTTCTGTTGCTGTGATAAAACACTGACTAAAAGCAACTTGGGAGAGGAGCGGAAAGGGTGTATTTTGTCTTATAACACCAAGGTCACACTCCATCACTCATGGAAGTCAGGGCAGGAACCTGGAGGCAGGAACTGAAGCACAGACCATGGAGGAATGTGACTTTCTTCCCAGGTGATTGCAGTTTGTGTCAAGTTGACAAAAACCAACCACTGTAGTTAGGATCCATTATCTGGAGAAATGGTTATTACATTGAAATAACTCCAAATGTCACAAAATTGGTTTCTTAATATTGAATGTGCTTATTTTCTCCAAACTACAGATCAGCGACATCGATCTAACTCCTTAACCCGAGTTGATGGTCAGCCACGAGGTGCAGTGGTAGCGTGGCCAGATAAAAAGAGCAGGTGGGTCACATTCACAAAATCTTCCTGTTTGGTGCTTATTGGACTAAAGTAGTGCTTCTCCAAATGTGATCCACATCATGAAATCCTGCTTGGTGCTTACTAGACGAAAGTAGTGGCTCTCTAGATATGGTCCACGGACTCCGGAAGAGCCACTGAGCCCCTTCAAGAAGTTGACAGTCGGTGTTTGCACAGCAGTGCCTGCACACACCTGCTTGTTTCTGTGCACCTCCTCGCCCATGAGCACTGTGTACTTTCCCAGTGGCTGTGTGATGTGTGGTGTCCCAGCAGAGAGAGGGCCCTTCCAGATCACAGATCTTAAAAGTAAAACAGTGCCACCCTACCATATAGGCACTTTGTTTTATGGTTGTGAGCCTGAGCCTTTAACAGCTGCGCCAGCTCTCTAGCCCTAGACACTTTGTTTTAAAAAAATACAAGAATTTTTTTTTTTTCCTGTAACGAGCTTGCTACTGTTATTTTTATTGAGAGTCTAAAACGTGTCTTAGCTTTCATTTGTAGTATGTGCATGAAGGCTCTTTGGGACCTTGGTTACTTTTAAGGGTTTGTAAAGAAATACTGGAGCCAGAGTGTTTGAGAATCCTTCCTCTGAAGTGGCCTCTGACACTCTTCTGTCCTGCAGTGTTTATGTAAGCCTCCTGAGTGGAAGAACAGAGTTCTTCTTCATACCTAGATCCCCCCTTCAGGCTCTTGTATTTTGGGTTTCTCCTCCATGTTTCAGGCCTGTGTCCCAGCCAACACCCTTTGCTCTCCATCATGCTGCAAGTTGTGATGTGGACCCCAGCTCTGGTGACAGTGTCAGCTTGGCCCGCTCTATCAGCAAAGACAGCTTGGCGTCTAATGTCGTCCACCTGACCCCACAGAACCAGCCTCACCCTGTAGCTGGAAAGACCAATGGAAAAAGCCTCCTGAGCAACGTCAACATCGAGGACGAAGAGGAAGAGCTCGTGGCCATCATCAGGACAGATGTGTCTCCTCATTCCCCAGAGGGCCCCAGAACCTCACCTCGGACTCCCGGCCTGGCAGCAAGTGTCAGGTCTCCCCAGAGACAGGGGGACACCTTGGAGAGTAAACCTGATAGTTTTTTCTTGGAGCCCCTGATGCCAGCGGTACTTCGACCAGCCAAAGAGAAGCAAACGGTCACTAAGGAAGATGAGCGTGGAGAAGGAAGAGCAAGGACAGTCACTTCCAAGCGGCCTAGCGAGGGCCCCCAGCCTCTCGTAAGGAAGAAAGTGACCAGCAGCCATGGCGATCGCGACTTGAATAGGACTTTCACCCCCATTCCTTGTTCAGAATTTGCTGCGAGCATTGACCCTGCAGAGGCGGGATCTCAGTCAGCAGACGCCCCAGGAGAAGAAGGGCCTCTGGCTGTGGGCAGATTTGATCTGTTACCTCAGCGGCAGGCTGCCGATGGCTTCTTCCTTCATGTTGGCAGGGCTGAGGAAGATGAGGGGAGGTGGTATGTTGGTTCACAGAGCCCCAGCTCCCACGATTCAGAACCCTGGACCATCCTGAGGCAAGACTCTGACTCTGATGTGGTGGACGTGGAGGATGTGGAGCAGGATTTCGCTGGTGAGGACCATTCTGTGGTTATCCCCAGATATGCTGGTGAGGAAGAATCTGCCAAACTCCAGGAAGATCTGAAGGTAAAGGAACACGAAGACAAGGATGATGCCAGTGGCCGTTCAAGCCCGTGTCTGAGCACAACTTCTCAGCTCAGCAGCATGTCCATGGCGAGTGGAAGTGTAAAGATGACCAGCTTCGCGGAAAGGAAGCTCCAGCGGCTGAACAGCTGTGAGACCAAGTCCAGCACCAGTAGCTCCCAGAAGACTACCCCAGATGCATCAGAGAGCTGCCCAGCCCCTCTGACGACATGGCGGCAGAAGAGGGAGCAGAGCCCTGGCCGGCACAGCAAGGACCCAGCCAGCCTGCTGGCATCCGAGCTGGTGCAGCTGCACATGCAGCTGGAGGAGAAGCGCAGGGCCATCGAAGCGCAGAAGAAGAAAATGGAGGCACTCTCCGCACGGCAGCGCCTGAAGCTGGGCAAGGCCGCCTTTCTGCATGTGGTGAAGAAGGGCAAGGCCGATGGTACCCCCCAGCCGCTGAGGCCTGAGCACTTCACGAAGGAGTACACGCAGCACAATGGGGAGGACTTGGAAGATGGCGTCTGTAAAACTGAAGGGTTCCTTGTCAAGGAAGAGCAGAGGGATCCCAATGAGCCTCAGGATGTGGCGTTTGTCCAGCTGCAAAGGCCCCGGGATCCGGCTTCTCTGCACGATGGAGAGAAGCACAGAATGATCTCTGCTGCTCTCCTGGAGGACGGTGTAGGCGAGGTGGACGTGAGTGAGTGTGACCTGTCCATTGAGAAGTTGAATGAGACCATCAGCACCCTGCAGCAGGCCATCCTGAAGATCTCCCAACAGCAGGAGCAGCTTCTTATGAAGTCCCCAACGGTGCCAGCGCCAGGCGCTAAAAATAACTGCCAGGACCAAAAGGTAAAGGCCCCAGTCCACTTCGTTGAGCCCCTCTCTCCAACTGGGGTAACTGGCCACCGCAAACCCCCGAGGCTTAGCCAGAGCCGGAACTCACGTCCTGGAAGGCCAGGTGAGCTGAAAGTTCCAAAAGACAGACAGCAGGGTTGCTCCCGGAGCAAAACCCCTACACCCAGTGTGGAGACACTCCCACATCCACGGTCTGTACCCCCAAGCACCCATCCACGGACGCCCTCTGATCCTGGTGGGGAGCCCCCTGAGAAGTGTCTCTTTGACAGTTACAGACTCCATGATGAGAGCAACCAGAGGACATTTGGTCTGTCCTCTACCAAAGACACAAATGTTGTATCTGAACACATGAACTTCAGAGAGGGTCTGGACACAAATGTGAAAGAGGCAGGGCTAGGCTCCTCTACCACTCCAGGCAGAGAGCACAATCCAGTGGAAGAGCCACTGAGGAGCAAGGCCAGCCTCATTGAGGTGGACCTCTCTGACCTGAAGGCCCCTGATGAGGATGGAGAGGTGGCTGGCCACGATAACTCGGTGGAGCTTGGCGGAGACGGTGACCAGAAGCCAGGGGTCGGCTTCTTCTTCAAGGTATGCGAGTTGGTAGTGTGTGTCGGTGGTCATGAGGTGACGGTGCTTCACCTCGATTATGAGGGTGTTTCAAGAACTTCAGTTCTGAGCAGATCCTATAAAAAGCCAGAGAACAAATATGTTTGACTTTGTGGACTACAGAAGCCACCATCCTGAGGACTCACCCAGTCAGAAGTACTCATGGGCAGCACATCTGGATTTGCATAATTTTCATGAATCAGGAAATGGGTCCTATTTGGTAGCTTTTTAACCATTTAAAAATGTAAAAAATACAGCTTGAAAGCTATTCAGAAACATCTAGGCTGGGCGTGGTGGTGCACGCCTTTAATCCCTGCACTTGGGAGGCAGAGGCAGGCAGATCATTGTGAGTTCAAGGCCAGCCTGGTCTACATAGTTCTAGGACAGCTGGGGCTACAGAGAGACCCTGTCTCAAAAAGACAAAAAAAAAAAAAAAAAAAAAATCTGGGCCAGATGTGGCCTTCGCGCTGCAGTTTGCCCACCCTTGGTGTGGAAACTAGGAGCAGAGATGGTTCAGCAACGTCTTGTTTCTCCATCTTGCACTTCTGCGTTAGAGATCAAGAGAAGTGTGGACTTGGGGGCCTCACTTGTGTCCTGACAGTGTCTGTTCTGAACACTCAGCCTTGCATGATGCACGTTTTGTTGGCATTTGTGCCTGTGTGCATGTGTGCATATGTATGCATAGAGCCCAGAGGTCAACCTTGGGTGTCGTTCCTCAGGAGCCATCTAGCCTGTATTTTGAGGCATGCTCTTTTATTGGGACCTGGGGCTTGCCAGTTGGGCTAGACTTGCTGGCCAGTGAACCCCAGGAATCCTCCCTAGCATTGGGATTACAGACGTGCCTTATTATCCCATCCAACTTTTTCGTGGTGCTAGGGACTGAACCTAGGCGTGGTCGGGTCCTCATGTTTCTGGGGGAAGCTCTTTACTGACTGAGCCATCGCCCCGTTCTCAGCATTTA